CTTTTTTTTTTTTTTAAAAAAAATGATTTAGCAATTGCCAAAAAATAAATCCCTTACATAATCAAGAGATTTTTTTTCTAATTTTCATCCTAAGGCTCTATAGTTTATTTAACATACTATCCAATAGAAAAATATTTTACAATAATTTCCTTTTTTAAACATAACCAAAAAAAAGTGATAAAAACACTATCATAGTTGACAATAATATACAAATAAATAACATGTCAAAATTTTAAAGAATAACTATAATTTTATTATCTAACCATCAATAAAATCTTTTAATGATGTGGTCATTATCTTTTAAATAATAAATAATATTAATTTTTAAAAAAATATTAGTGTTATATAATTAAATAAAGGATAAAAAATATTACTCGACAAATATTAATTATAATGGATATCAGTAAAATCATTGCATAAATTATTTAAATAAAAAATCTTGAAGATCATATTTGGATAGTAAATGTAAATATGCAAGCATTTAATGCATATAGTAAAAAATTTCCAAATAAAGTATGCATTAAATGTGTGTTGACTTTTTTGCTACTGTTTTTGGTAAATAGGTTGGCTTTTAATATATATATAGATATAGATTAGCAACTTAATAAAATATTATTTAGGGAAATGCTATAGTCCCGTTACGGATTCATTCCGTCGGGGTTTGCAACCGTTAGATCAACTATATCTGACGGTTACATGATGATCTAATGGTTGCAAACTCCGACGAAATTGTTTTGTAACGGGACCGTAGCATTTCCCATTTATAATAATTATTTTTTTGTTTTCGGGGTTGAAAAATAAATCATTAATTTATTTTTGACGTGTCGGAAAAAATCGGTCGAGCGGGCTGTTCGGGCAGGAATCTGGGCTTGCCCGCGGTTAGCTCCGTCCCTTTCTCCGCCAAAGCTCTTCGGAGCACGAAAAATATCATATTTATTCGTATCCCCAAATTGATTCAATAATCAGGAAACCTAGAATCACCTCTCAATTTTTTGTCTCCTTATTTATCATTTTTCGGATCATTTTTTCGTAATCGGCGGGCGGATATGGAGATCGACGAGATATTGGGGGAGCCAAAGCAGGCGAGCATGACGACGAAGAGCGTTATATACGCGTGGGGCTACAATCAGTCGGGTCAAACGGGTCGGAGGGGTGAAGAGGGGAATCTTCGGATCCCCAGGCAGCTGCCGATGGACCTCTTCGGCTGCCCTACCGGCGGCGGCAGCTCGCGGTGGCTCGACATTGCCTGCGGCCGCGAGCACACCGCCGCTGCCGCCTCTGATGGATCGCTCTTCACCTGGGGTAATTTTACCTAACATTTTTTTTTTCTCCATTTGTTTTTTTTTTTCTTTTTTCGGTTTTTGATTCTTGCAACACCATGTTTGTGGATTGAATTTCTCACGTTACTGCTGGGTAGGGGCCAATGAGTATGGGCAGCTTGGGGATGGTACTGAAAAGGGTCGAAAATACCCAAAGAAAGTTAAGTCCTTGCAATCTGAATTCGTGATCTCTGTATCTTGTGGGGCACATTGCACGGCAGCCATTGCGGAGCCTCGTGAAAATGATGGATCTCTTTCGACTAGGAGACTCTGGGTTTGGGGACAGAATCAGGTACATTTAGTTTCGGCCGACTGAAGATTATTCCTTTTCTCCTCATCAGGTGATGGTGATGCATGAAGAAAAAACTTTGTTCGTGAAATAGAATATTGTAAAGGACTTGTATCTTTTGATTTTACTTATTTTTTTGTTTCATAATGATCTTATAAGCTGCGTACTCAAAGAGGGTTGATTTTTCAATTAAAGGTTAATATACAAATGGTGTTGCTGTTGTTGCAATGCTCGCCTTTGAAAGCCAACAAGAGTGCAATGTGGATGCCCCTAAGTTTATTTCCCTGTTTCTGGTTTCTTCTCTTCTATAAATGGCTTAATCATGATCCTCTTGTGTTGTTTGCAGGGTTCTAACTATCCACGGCTCTTTTGGGGAGCTTTCACTCAAAACACGGTACCTTGATCTCAAATCAACCCCCATGAATAATAGTTCTGTTACTTCATTCACATAAATGAGATGCATTCTTATTTTTGAGATAATAGCCTATTACTTGATAATTCATGTCACATTCAAATTTTACCTTGAACTTGCGGTACTATAATGAAGCGTTTCTTTTCCACAAAGTTTTATTTTCAATTATTATACTTGTGTCTAGTTATCACAAACTGTTCGCCTGAATTACTAAAGAATGTGATGTTTTCAAGCTTCATCTTCATCGCACATTCAAGAAAGCATGATTGTTCAATATATATGCATATTTGTATTCAAGAATAACAGAAAACCTGCTTTCTTTCTTTTTTTCCCCTTTTATCTCATCCGTAGTTATTTTCTTGCATGCAAACAATTTCCTGGTATGATATCGTTATTTCATATTCTTATGCATTGTGCTGATATTTTATATCTCATCCAACCTTTCCAGGTTATTCGCCAGGTCTCTTGTGGGGCCGTTCATGTGGTGGCTCTGTCAGAAGATGGCTTGCTACAAGCATGGGGTATGTTCGTATCTAATTCAATACCCAATACGATCATGCTACATATTTTATTTACTTATTTGTTTATTTTGTATGCGTGTACTGTTCGACTTGTATACATTAGATGCCCGTGCATCAGTCTCATTTGTTTCTCAATCATTAGACTTTTCTATATCACGACCTCGTCAGTGAAGCTGCAGAGATTCGAACTACTAAAAAATAGTTAATTATTGCATCATATTAATCAGAATTTTGTCACTGCATCTGATAAATCAGGCTATAATGAGTATGGCCAGCTTGGCAGAGGTATTACCTGTGAAGGCCTTCAGGGGGCTCGTCTAATTAACGGGTTTGCTAGGTTTCTCGATGAGGCCCCTGAGCTTGTCAAGATTACCCAGGTTTCATGTGGAGAGTACCATACTGCAGCCATATCAGATACTGGCGAGGTGTAAGTGTTCCAGGGGACAAATTTTATGATAGGGAAACACATTTTTCAACTAGGATAAGGTTTTTAGGTTATAATTTCCATAATTGGACATAATTTTTTAGCACAAAGGACAGAAATTTAGAATAGTTTTAAGTTTAGTTTTGATTCTCAGTCATGCAATGCATCTGTCTTTTAACTTAGTTTTTTTCTTTTTTTTTTTTTTTAACTTCTAAAATTATCGCCTTGATTCATCCAAATTCACGTAACAGCTATACTTGGGGATTTGGGAGCATGGGCCAACTCGGGCACTGTTCCCTTCAGTCTGGTGATAAAGAGCTTCTGCCCAGACGTGTGGTTGCTCTTGATGGGATATTCGTGAAGGATGTCGCTTGTGGTGGCGTTCATACGTGTGCTTTGACCAAGAAAGGGGCCCTCTATGCTTGGGGAGGAGGCCACGCCGGGCAGTTGGGCCTGGGCCCACAGAATGGGTTCTTTTCCTGCGTGCCCAACGGGTCTGAAATGATGCTCCGCAACATACCTGTTCTGGTGATTCCGACTGGCGTGAAGCTTGTCTGTTGCGGCCATTGTCACACCCTTATTTGCACCAAGGAAGGGAGAATATACGGATGGGGTTACAATAGCTATGGTCAGGCTGCTAACGAAAGGTGTACTTATGCGTGGTATCCTTCCCCCGTCGACTGGTACGTTTTTTCGTCTTGCAAAAGTTTGTTTTGTTTGTTCTCCTTTTCAACTGTTAAAAGGGATAATTGCAAAACACATCTTTGGGCCTCGTTTACTTAAAATGATGGGATTGCACATTTTAATCCCATCAACTTTACACGTCAGCTTGTGTCCAATGTTACAAAACATGATGCATTTTAAGGCAAAAACAATCAAGCGCTTACTAACCTGGATAAAATTCGGATAAAAAGCAAAATATGAGGTGGCAGCAAAATATATTTATATTGTCTAAATCTGTAATTTGGTGGACTTACTAAAGGTAAAAAGAACATTTCACATGTCAATTTTTGGACAAAATGGTCATTTATAAGGTGGGATTAGAATGCCCGACCCTTATGACCGGACAAAATAATCCTGCCAATCGTGCATAAAAGTGTGGGACCCAGAGGATACATCAGCTTATTATCCAATCCCATTATGGTTTGTATACATTGGATAACATGAGTTATCCAACCATATCCTATCCTTTTCTATCAGCTTAAGGCCCTGAGGTTTACCCAAGTTACCAAAAAATCTGGTTATCTTATGAAATTACTCATATAACCCAGTTGATTTTTTTTTTTTTAGCTTCTTGTGACTAAACAAGATTAAACTGGTGAGATTTTAGAAATGTGGGCCGATTCAATCTGCTCTCGTGTAGGTGTGTTGGGGAAGTAAGAAAGTTAGCTGCGGGAGGCGGCCACTCGGCTGTTTTAACAGATGCATGCTCGTTGAAGGAGCTGTGTGAGTTTGTTCTTGCAAACAATGTGAACCTGTCAAATGCATCGGTGATCGAAGATATTGCCTTAAGATCTGGATCGGATGCTTTAGCCCGCCTTTGTGAAAGATTTAGGTAAGAATTCATTTGGCGATCATTTTTTTATTCTCTTCCATTTTTACACCCTATATACGATTGGCTTTCTAATTGAAATTACACAGCCTAGGATTTCTTTGTTAATTTTCTCTGACACAGACAATTACAAATGCTAGATGTATCTGTAATCTTAAATGATGTAGTGTGTTTTGGTAGATTAAGCTGAAAAGTTTGTTCTGAGTTGATAACTTATGGTCGATAACTGAAAATTAGCGGATAAGTTAGTTGAATGAACATAAAAGTAAATGATTTTTCTCGAAATGCTTCCAACATAAGCATCTTGGATAAGTTTCTACTTTTGTAGAAAGGCCCGGTAAAGCAAACAAGAAGCTTATAGTCTCTCAAATTCAAACTCCCACTCAGAATTTTCATGTTTAATTTTTCACTAATTCTTGATAAAGAAAAACGTGTACTCGAGATGTATCCTTTTTTTTTCTCCTTTTCTTTTTTTGCTTATGCAGGGAGCATTTGCTCAATGGTGGCGAGTGTGACAGAGATAAGACTGGATTTGTTGTTTGAATGCATTTTTTTTACCCATTTTCAACTATTGTTTCATGATTGTGAATGTACATTGTGTAACGTGTTTGCCGTTTGCCCATCACTGGAAAAATGGCAGAAAAAAAAAAAAACAAACAAACAAAACGACCGTGGGTCATTTGTTTCTTCACCAGCAAATGTCTGAGTAACTTAAATAGGATGTAAAAACATAAGACCTCAATTGATGTCTGTATTTCTGGTTTAGTACCCGCCAGACATTGTTATGTGAATACTGTGTAATGTACTCTGTTTGTGGACGAAAAAGCATTTAAACAGGTACTTTATTTTCTTTTTATTCCTTTAAATTTATATATGTCACTGTTGAAACTCAGTGATGATCATTGAAGATCTTTGTGCGCATGAATCTTAGAGATTTTATCACATCGGTTTTGCTATGGAGCCATCGGATGACTCGCTTATGGAGCAATTCATAGTTATTTACAAATAGTTTATTGACATGTATCCTGCAATAAATACATATTAGACATGTGTCAGTACATAAAGTTATGGATGACTCTATGAGGAAGCCATTTAATGGCTTTTCTGTTTATCAGATACCATGATTATTCATTTTGGCGTTTTGATTGCTAGTTTAAATTGGGTAATCAAATTCACTTGTGCATGTTAAAATAATAATAATAATAAAAAAAAAAACTAATATACAAATGTGACATCTAAATTTAGTTAGAGCCCCAGTTGAACAACTACTACCTACCGGTTACCATACTGGTCTAGCCACCGACACGCGGTATTATCGGTCGGACCGGTTATATCGATGGATTACCGGACTAGCAAATATAATGATATATATAAATATACATAAAAGTATATAATATAAAATGCAAAAAAGTAAAAAAATAAATGACCATAATCATTAAAATCATCTTCCCAATGAGATAAAAATAAAACATTTTAACTATCAATTTAAATTTGTTTTTAAATTAATAAATTTTATTCATTTTATTTCTTTTTATTGACCGGTATTTTGGATCGGTATTTACGGTATGATTCCCGTACAAACCAGTATAATTACCGGTTGGTTAAATCATTGTTAACAACAGAAGGCAAAGCCAACAAAAGCCAATTCAAATAATAATAATAATAATAAAATAAAGGGAAGCAGAAAAAGAGTCACATTGCCATATATAGCTGGGCTTTATAAAGTTCCAAACTTTACATACACTTGGACTCAAAAGTTCAACTAAGAATTTATAACATGGTTTTTCAAGACTCCAAATCCAGTTAACATGCAATTATTTATAAAATGTATCTGGAGTACTCAACAAGAATTATGAACCATTCGATGCATAAATAAACTATATATATAATTATCTCACTCAGAATTTAATTACTCTTCCTTTCCTTTTTCATTTTTATTCAATATTATGTGGCATTCAGAGCATCCAATCATGGACCAACCCATTGACGTTTTGTGCATCATGAGCTGCTGCTGCTGCTGTCATCTGGTTAGAACTCACTGGGTCACTGTACCTGTTTTTTTTAAAAAAAAAAAAATAGGGGAAAGGAAAATTAAATCAATAATTTGGAGAAATATGTAGAATATACTCATAATTAATATTCACGCAAATATATTTATATATTTTTTAAATAGGAATATGGAGTTTTTGTTTAAAGAAAATATAACAAAGAGAGAGAGAGAGGGAATTTTGGCTTCTCTTTTCTTATTAGGCAAAATTGCATTTTATGCCTTGTTAATTATGCGTGTGTGACAAATGTGGACAACTTCTTTTTGGTTTGACAAAAGTGTCCTGAATCTTGTTAAAACTCGAAATTCGTGTCCAGTTTGGGCACAAATTTCGAATTTTAACAAGTTACTGTCTTGTTTTGCCACACGAAAAACTGGTCAAATCCAGTAACTTGTAGGTAATTAAATTGGACACGAATTCCGGGTTTTAACAAGTTTTGGGGCACTTTTGTCAAACCAAAAAGAAGTTGTCCACAGTTGATACACACGCATAGTTACAAGGCACAAAATGTAATTTTGCCTTTCTTATTATTATTCAGTTATGTAAAAACATTAAAAGTTTTGAATAAACAAATAAATTTTTTACCCAATCTGAAGAGTGGAGTTGCAATCAAGTGGCTGAAAGAAAGCCTGAGAATGAGGATCTTGATGATGATGATGATGATGAGTGTATGTGTTGCTTTGTTCTCCTCCTCCTCCAACCCATGACTGTTGTAGATGATTTGCAGCATATATATCTTCCAGCTGGTCAAAATTAGTAAAGCCCATAAAAAAACCAAAATTATGTATGATAATATTGAATATTCAAAGGATGACTATTATTATAAATATTAAAAATATTTGAGCATGTATCAATATATTTGTCATGACTCATGCAAATCACCTTTCTTTCTAAAGCCTTGTTTGCATCAAGCATCATCTTCTCCTTCATCCAACAAATAAAAATTAATAAATGAAAAAAAAAAGACGACGAAATACTCGATCGAGCAACTAGAGTGTATTTTCTCATTTTCTATGTATGTGTGTATAGTTCAGATATACCTTAGCTTGAAGATCAGAAAGTTGATCCAGCATAACCTGTGTCTGGAAAAAATAAATAAAGGTAGAATGAAAGTTAATCATGCAATAAAATCAATCAAAAAATTGTATAAACAGAACAACATATCTAACAGTTTATTCGAATATCCCGGTCAGAAGAATGCAAGGTAAACTAAATTCTAATTATGAACTTACTAAATCACTCTTGGAAGAGTTAATGTTAATGATGATGATAAATGTTCGAAATAATTTTATGACATTAATTAAACAGGCGAATGTGTTTTAGGTTTACCCTTGTAGACCTAATGTCCTTCAATGATGTCTCTAATTGATGTTCAATGTGCTCAAGGTCATTGATGTTTAGAGGTCCTAAGTCATCCCCAAGAAGTTGCCTGCAAAAAATTAAACAAACATTATAAACAGCTCAAGAAAAAAAGAAAAAAGAAAAGACCACATCAAATATTCGACGCGTTTTTGTGACGAAAGGATTCGAGTGACTACCTTTGGTATCGTTGCAAAGAGTCGTACTTCGATTTCAGTTTTAGGTACTCCCTATAGCTGCTTTGCTGCAAGAGAATTTCCAGACACTAAATTAGTAGAATTAATTAGTTTAATTAATTAATCCATGCTTTTCTATACTTGGGGTGTGTGTGTAGAAAATGAAATTAATTAAAATATATGGTCTGATGATTATCTGCTAGACTACTTTATACTGAAATTATTACACAGAAGTTTTTGTTGCAAATGATATTTAACCAAACTGTACAAAAGGGTTACACATAAGTCTATAACTTTTTACCTCAATCTCTTTCCCAGGATTATTGACTTCTAAAGATCCATAACTGCATTTTTGATACCTTTCAAGTGTTTTGAGCATGCTGTGCACAAAGGCAAATCATGAGTAGACAGTAAATGCTTGTACTTGTGTTTAACTTTTCAGCAATATTTTGTTTTCCTTTCTTTGGTTTTATATATGAAACAAATTAATCAGAAATTACAACTGAAATTTTGTTAGCATATATATATATATATATATATAGAGAGAGAGAGAGAGAGACGATCTGCGAAAGCTCGAAAAAATCTCTATAATTTAATTATTAAAATCCTGTAAAGTTCACAGCACAACATGATGAAAACCAACAAGTCAGAAGTAAATTAATATGTACAAATTGTTTGAGATTTGTTGCAAGCAACCTTAGTTTCAGTTTTGGCATATATTGGAATGAGAAAGATTTTGTTTTAATCATTTAAACAAATAATGTCTCTTGTCAAGAACTTGCAAATCACAAGATTTTATAAGAATATAAAAATGAAAAAAAGTATAAAAAATAAAAAAAAAATTAAAAATTGATACATATCAAAATCATTATAAATGCATCTGAAGATATAGATCAGGCTGAAAAACCAGTCAAAAGCAAAAAAAAAGTGTTGAGACTGAAAAATATTAATCTTTTGATTTAACAGAAATCAGAAATCTGGGATTCACCCTATTATCTGCCAGTTTCATGTTATTATATGAAAACAAAATTGTACAACCATGAGAAGAGATTTAGAAATTAACTGAAAATCACTATTTTTTTTTAAATGCAAAAAAAAAA